CGTCTCTCTCTCTCTCTCTCTCTCTCTCTCTCTCTCTCTCCTCTCCCTTTCTCTCACAAACAACGAAAGAGAAAATTTGTTTGCCTCAAGATTTGTCAAATACATGTAGTTTCTCTCGAAAGCCCATCCTTGTTGTCAGTCGACTTCCCAATTTCACGTCCACAATCACGAACACGAACCATATGGTTAAAACAAAACGAGAATTGTGGTCAAGCAGTCCGCAGTGACCTCCACAGGGAACGCACCTACGCAACTGGACAGTCAAATTATTGCATTCCTCACCGGGGGTGGTTGTTGCTAGCTCTAAGTTGCGCCTTGCCCAGCGTTGGTGGAGTTTCCCACGTCTACTTCTATTTGTTTTTTCTTTCTGTCTCTCTGTTGTATGTTTTCTGTTGTTAGTTTATGGTACATATTATATTATGTATAGATTGATTTTGTGCTGTGTGGCCTCGGATTCTTAATGTTTTGAAATATTAAGAGGTATCATCGTCTGAAAACGTTGCATAGGTCCCTTTTGTATTGTCTAAACCAACTTTGTTAAAGAAGAGGAAAAGGCTATTATAGTACGGTCAAAATTTCGTGGCGCAACTTATTGTCAAATATCCCCTCAACTATCGGTCATAAACTCTCCAGCTTTTGCACAGTGATTTTTACCAATTTGTCTTAACAAATTAATATTTTTGTAAACACCTGTTAACTCTATTCTAGAAAATTCCGTTCACGGGCTGGGATAATATCGCTTTCAAAAGAATGTCCGTCATTTTTTTTTTCTAATCGCGAGATTATCTTTATTGAACGCCTATTTTGAGAACTTTTAGCGCAAAAAAGTGTTCACTATGAAATTAATTTCTTGTAACTAGTTTTGCCACTAAAAAGTATCATTGGTGATCTGTGACGTAAGCCATATAATATGCGCAGGTAAGATGAGGGCGAGATGTGGGGGAAGTGCCTTAAGCAAATTCCATTTTCCGCGTGAAGTAAATTTGTTGCATTTTATATAAATTAATGAAGACAAATCTCAATTGTTGTGGAAAATTATGATTAAGTTAAGACAAATTGATACAAACTGCTTTACAAAGTTTGGGTGACCTTGGCTCTCCCGTTAAAAAGATATTTGAGGATAAGTTGTGCCACAAATTTTTGACCGCTCTGTACTGTTCTTTTTATAGCGTCAGGCCACTTGACGGTCTATCTGTTTACTTGTTTACTTGTACTGTTTCGACTGGTTTGACTTAGGGTTAGGACTAGAGATTAGAGTTAAGATCAAGGTTAGGGTCAAAATAGTTTATTGTATTTGATAAAAAGACCGTCAAGCGGGCTGGCACCCTTACTCGTATTTTGTTGCCTCTGGCCGGAGATGATTAGTCTTCGCTCTGGCCTTCCGAGTCTTATAAATTATTGTTTGTATGAACAATGAATTGTGGGATTGTTTACGCGTGGAGTTATTGGACGATCGTTGTCCTGATAAGTCATAATCCCGCCCAAAGTCAATTCGCTATCTTTGTAGGCTACATTTACAGGTGAACATAGTTCAAATCCCCTGTGGGGCTTACTTGAACTTAGTTTTGCTTTAGGTTTTAAAGGCTCCTCACCTTCAAGACTCGGCTCTATTGAATGGAGATTCAAATTCAATTCGGAGGTCCTGCTTTTCATCTAATCTGTTCCTTTGTTTTGCTTTGACGCATGTTTTTATGGGGCACCAGTTTTATTCTTCTTTACGGGAGTACTGTTTGTTGTATCCTGAGAACTGGGACCAAACGGCTCGATTTATAAGTATTCTTTCATTACATTTATAATCTTTGGAGGTTCATGATCGAATGGCAGATCCTTGTATTTCTCCGAGTGCAATAAAGTCTCAACATTGCGTCCTGGACAGGTCGTCGCCTTGGCCAACGGGGGTGTAATTATATGCAAGTACGTCTCTCTCTCTCTCTCTCTCTCTCT